TTCTTTCTGCCCATCAGCCCTGGTCTCTTTGCTCTCCAGACACTCTGGCCAGTAGGCTCAAGAGGCCACCCCCACCTTTATCCTGGGCTTCCCCATCTCCCCTTTCTGTTTGGCTCTGGTTGGAGGAATCAGAGGTGGTTTTAGGGAAAAGAAAGTAAATAAGCATCAATTGAAAAAATTCGGGGCCAAAACTATGCAAAATTGAGTGTAAAATTGATACTTTCCTCTGTTGTCAGCTTTAGTTTTCAGAAGCACGGACCATTAAACAAAGGGGGAGCTGCCTTGTGGGATAGGATCTCATGGCTCAGGGGGACAGGTGCTGGTTTGGTGGGAGAAGGAATAGGACAATACAATGAGGGGGTGGAGGGGAGATTCTGGGCCTCAGTTTTCTCATCAATACAAGAAGTAATATGTAAATCTAATACCTAAAAATAGTGCTGTCCCACAGGGCTGTTGTGGAGATGAAATATAATAATGGCTGTGGAAGAGATTTGTTGGCAATACAGGACCGCACACATGTAAGGCACTTGGAAGGCACGCTGTCTTCATTCCTTTGAGTGTAGCAAGCACAGGGCAGACAGCACTCCTGGGCAGCTTTGTGCCTTGGCAAGGAGCAGGACTTTAGGCACCTGCCCCTGTGCATGGGTGTTTTCTGAGCCCAGGAAGAGGGTGCAGAGGCTGCGCCTTGCCCACCGTCTGCATATTCCAAGAGTGCCTGAGGCCTGTCTCCCGGCCCTTTCTGCCAAGGACTGCAAATGCCATCCAGGCAGAACTGCACTTGAACCAGCATCCCCTGACTGGTCTCCCAGGCTGCTCTGACTGGTTTCAAAGTGCCTGAAGAGCTACAGGGACGTGCTTGGCAAGCCCTGAACTGAGGCTTCCCAGCACTACAGGCAATAGCTGAAGCCCAGGGGTGTGCCCTGAACCCACAGGAAAGGGTTGTGCGTGTGTGCATGTGTGCGGGGTGTCCAGGAGTTCCTGTGATATTAGCTACAGCCAGCCTGGAGGGAGAGAGATGCTCGCTGGGGAACAGGTAGATCATTCTAAAGCCAGAATGAGAAAAATATTCTGTCCTAGAGCACACTCCTGCTCCCAGGGCTTCATGGGTTGAGCTGTGCCCCAGCTCTGGTGCAGTCCACAAAGGGCCTGTCACACTCTTGTGGCCAAAAGTGGGATTGGGTGATGCTTGGTAGTCCTGGGATTCAGTCTGGGGTCAGGGTCAGGGTCGATCTGTAACCAGGATTAAGGATCAATCTGGGATTAGACCAAGGGGTGTGTTTTAGGTCGGAGTTATGGGTCAGACTGAGGTCTGGGTCAGGGCCCAGTCTGGGGCCAGAGTCAGAAGTCCATCTGAGGCTGATAAAGGAATGTCCCCTGGTGGAATCTGACTGGCAAAGATGGCTGCTGACCTTTCTCTGTCCTCGCCACCCTCTTAGCAAGCCATGGCCTGGGCACTCTTCTCCACAGCACCTCCAGGAAATCTTATAGAATTATAATAGCATGGCTTTCCCTTCCTTTTTCCCTAAGTACTCTTTGGGACTTGAGCAGAGAGATGGTTCCAATTAGGAAATCCAGCAACTATTGCTGTGGGACCGTGCTGTCCCTGTGGACATTCCCTGGGCCCCCACTTGGCAGCTGTGCAATGAGAAAGACTCAGAATTTCTCCCACGTTTCCCCTCCCCACTCCCACTCCCCACCTGAACGGGAAGAGGAACAGTGGAGGACAAAGGGGCACAAAGCCGGGGGAGTAAGAGGGTCTGGGAAGGCAACTGGAGTGTTGGGGGACTTCTGTGATCCCTGCAAAGAGGACACCTCCTGTGAACTCTCGGGTTGGTGGCTGGGAGGCAGGTGTTTTGTGACTCTGACAATGATCCTCTCATTCTGTGTACTTGGGTTTTGTGTGTGCTCAGTATCAGCCTGCACATCTGTTTGCATCTCCATAAAGCCACGTGCGTGTCCACCCTTTCAGAGACAGATCTCTCCATGGGTGGGTGCCCCAGGGTCACTTGGCCCATTCACCACCTTGTGGCCAGTGCTCTGTCCCAGGGTCAGGCTAGATTCTTAGGGCTCTTCAAGACAGCAGGGCCTCGACAATCTCTCCCAGCCCCATTTTACTCCAGCTTGATCCTCAGATAGGGAGTAGGGTGGTGTTAGCCTCACCACTCTGGGTGCCTCGTCCAGATTTGACCCGTGAAACCTCCCTACTTGACAGGGTGCTCCCCATCTCTCTATTTCTGGGGCCAAAGTGGTCCTGACAGGGACTTCGTGAGTGTCCAGGCCCCAAGCCACCTGTGGTGGAAGTCTGAGAGCACTGAGGCGGGAGTGGAGTCCTTTGGGAGCCTACAAGTAAGCCCTTGGGAGCTGATGTCCCGCTAGGAAAGGTAATGCAGAAAGGGGAGAGGGACTTACTTCCCTTGAATCTGTAGTACTATAACTGTCCACTAGGTGGGGTTCCAGGGCAGAGAGTGAGAGCCGCGGTGACCCAGCGCTGAGAGCTGGAAACCAGCCTTTAGATCTCCGGCCACATCAGCCTCGGAAGCGCTCACACAGGGAGGGACACCAGATACGCTCGCGCCTTAGACGCTCACACACATTCTCTTCTAGTAAACTCTAAAGCAGAACTCGTACTGGGTGCGGGGGAGGTGTTAAAAGGGGAATCTCATTTCGTTTACACACGTACCACCCTCAACTAAAGGTGGGGTATCTTCGGCTCTGGGAGTGCGAGAGTGAACGGCAGAGCCAAGGCAGCTGGAGAAACAGGATGCACGCGAGGGGGATCCAGGCGTTAGCTAGACAGATGTCGGGCTGGTATGCATACCTCCGTGTTAACACAGGTTCGCAGGAGAGGCCAGAGGACAGACATATGCACGGATACACAGACACACAGCTCTAGAGAGAACACACAAACCCGCAGACACATCACCTCACTCCCCAGACGTTGGGCCGAGGCAAGGACACACGCGCGCGCACACAGATGCGGCCCCGGGCCACATGCACACCTCACACAGGCACGCGCGCACTGGGCCCTCTGCGACCAGCGCTGAAAAGGTGGCCGCGCTCACTCGGCATGTTTATTTACTCATTTGTATCAATGAACCTTTGTACCCTTCTCTTCCCGCCTCTGGGTACTCGGGCCGCCGCATTTGTCCCGGCGTGGGACACTAGCCGGGACCAGCATAGGGTTCCTCAGTCGCTGCGGGTGGTGGACAGGGACTGCAAAGGGGAGGTCTGGAGGTGTTGGAGAGGAGGGGCTGCAGAGTAAGCAGCCAGGGACGCGGACGGGGACCGGACAACCTCAGGGTCCTGCAAGGAAGAGACATATGTTGGGAAGTACCTTGGCATCTGAGGTTCGGGGATGTAGGGTTCAGGATGGGGGACCCGGGGTAGGAAGGGATTGGGAACGGCAAATGAGGGGTCCCGAGAGATAAGACCCAGCGGGTTGGGAGTTCGGGACCCTAGGCACAGGTTCTGGGGCTTTGGGCATCCCCCAGTCAAGGGGTTAGTCCGGCCAGGACCTCTGCTGCCCGGGCTACGGCCCACGCGGGACTGCCCGGAGCGGGAGAAGGGGGCTAGTGACCTGGGAGGGAGGGAAGTAGCCTAGCAGCCAAGCGGGCACTAAGCGTGTGCGCACCGTGCGTGTGTGTGTGCGTGTGTGTGTGTGTTCGCGCGCGCGCGTGTGTCTCATCTCGTCCGTCTGTAGGTGCTGGGCTCAGCGAGACGCCGGCGAGAAAGAAGAGGAGGCGAGAGGTGAACTGAGTTTGATCCTGCGGCGGCTACAAGTGGGTCCCGGGCGGGCGGCGGGCGGCGGGCGGCCGGGGCGGGGCGGGAGGCCGGCCTGCGCTCACACGCTCCGGCCGCGGGCCGGCCTCTCACCACGCCTCCAGCTTTTGTGAGCGCCGAGGGTGGGGGGATGCTGGCAGCCTCCCGCCTCTATATAAACACACGCATTGGCTCGCTTTGGACGCAAATTCACATTGAGAGAAGCTTTTAAAACCACCAGCCCTGAAATCCTGCCTCCTGCCTTTCCCTCTTTCATTCCTTTTGCCTTCCTTTCTTTTTCCCCCCTTTCTTCCCCCAGCAGCAACTCCAGAGCCGAGAGACCGCGTCCCGGGACCGACTGCCTTTTCTTAATTGATACAATAGCCCAGCTCGGGTTTTCCACCTCCTCCTCCAACCCCACCCCGCCTCACCCCTCCCGCCCGCCGCCGCCGCTGCCGCCGCCGCCCCATCGCCCGCCCGGGGCTCTGTCGCCGGCTGCGTCCCGTCCCGGCCCCGCCCCCCCGGCTCCGCACCCGCGCTCCGGCCGCCGCGCCCGCCTCGCCGCCTCGCCCGCCGCGCCCGCCTCGCCCGCCTCGGGGGTGCCGCGGCGGCTCTGAGGCTCGGGCGCGCCGCCTGGGGCTGCCCAGAACGCTGGGCTCGGGCCTCTCCACTCGCCTCGCCCCCAAAGTTTCTGGGTTCGTTGGAATTTTTGCATTCAGGATTCCCCCCCCCCTTTTCCCCTAGGAATTTTAGGGGAATACTTTTGACAAATCGCACTTTTTCTCCGCCAGCTCTCTGCCCCCCTTCTTTTTTTTTTCCAAGCAGGGGAAGGGGCTTACGAGAAAGAGGCTCCTGCTGGACAAAGTTTTCCAAAGTTTTCCGAGTGTGATGGCTGCGGGGAGAGCAAATCCACCAGCTTGATTCACGGCTTCATCTCACCACCCCTTGAGCAGCCCCTAAGCCCGCTATAAAGGAACAAACAAACAAACAAACAAAGTTACACCCCAGTTGCCTCGTGTCTCCTTTCTCTCTTCTTTTAGGCATTTTTTTCTCCCTCTCTCTGCTCCCCTTGCAGCCTCCACTCCCCTTCCCTCGGCCCCTTCCTCCTCCTCTGTTTCGGCTGGAGGTGCCAGGACCCCCGGCCGGCCGCAGCCTCCCTTCCCCCGCTGCTCCGGTCCCCTCCCGTCCAGCCCTCCCCTCCCCCGCCGGGGCCAGCACAGCCAATCCCCCGAGCGGCCGCCAACATGCTCTTTGAGGGCTTGGAGCTGGTGTCGGCGCTGGCCACCCTCGCCGCGTGCCTGGTGTCCGTGACGCTGCTACTGGCCGTGTCGCAGCAGCTGTGGCAGCTGCGCTGGGCTGCCACCCGCGACAAGAGCTGCAAGCTGCCCATCCCCAAGGGTTCCATGGGCTTCCCGCTCATCGGAGAGACCGGCCACTGGCTGCTACAGGTAAGGGCACGCTCTCTCCGCTGCTCTCCGGGGTCCGCTAGCTGCGAGCTCGAGCTCGGGGCCGACGGAGCCGCGGGCCGGCCAGGGGGCGCCGGGAGCGAGAAGACACTGGTCCCCGCCCCGCCCCTTCCCTCCTCCCAGACTCAACCGCCCGGGCTTCCTCTGCCCGCCCGCAACGTGGTTCGGAGACCACTGGCGCCGGGTGAGCAGGTTCAGGGGGCTGGTGAGAGGGGTTCCCAGACCAGAGGGAGTTCCCAAGAATGACTTGCCCCGGTCGTGGGCAGCCTAGCAGGGGTGCGTGGAGCGCCCTGGGGGCTCCCGGCGCCCGAATCTGAGGGGACGTCAGGTCCTGAGCTGCTTTTGCCTCCCCTTCGCGCTCCACGCCCCCGTCGCCGTCGGCTTCCTGGACTTTGGCTGTGGCGCTGGGAGCTGAAAACTGACTCGGGAGAGTAGGAGCGGGTGGGTGGCAGCTTGAATTGCCCCTTTAAAACTACTCCTGCTGCGTAGTCTGCTGCTCCAGGTACTACTGCCCTGGTCCGCGGTCCGCTCCAGTGTGTGTGTTTTGTGGTGGAAGAGGAAGAAGGTAACCCGAGGAAAATGAGAAGCCAGAGACCTGAGGGCTCTCCGCTTTCGGGGAAAAGGGTCTGTTTACTTATTGGGTGGGGACAGTTTAGCAGGAGAGAAACTTGGGAGAGGTGTGTGTTTGTTAGAGGCTGCAAAACCTCACTCTGCTGGTGAAAATGGGGGTGGGGCGCGTTAGGGACCAGACCCAGGCAGGTAATGGGGAGGTTAACCTGGAGTTAACCTCATCAAGTGCTAGACAATCGCTTTTGCAATTTGATACACATCAGGGTTTTTCTTGGGGGTGGGGGCGCCTCTGGGGTTACCGCGGGAGCAGTGTTCGTGTGTGCGTGTGTACGGGTGTTTGTCCGATGGGTGCTGATGAGGGTAGGGGGGAGCATGGATATCCAGAAACAGACAATTCCGGCACTGGAGAGGTGAAGCGAAAGGTGAGCGCCGGGACCTGCGGGTTTAGAGGTGCGAAAGCTTGGCTTGAAATTAACAGACGCGTGCAATCCGCGCGCGCGCGCACACACACACACACACCCCGCCCCGCCCCCGGCTTAATGACAGCGGAGCAGGGGCGGGGAGGACGCGAGGTTCCTCTGCCCGGTGGTCTTTCCGTGTCCCTGAGTCGGCCCATATCTTTTTGGGATTATTCGTGCAATGGGGTGGGGTTCGCTTCCGACTACCCCTCCCCGCAAAGAAATCCCCAGCCTCTCCCTTGCCACCACACTTAAAGGGTTAACTGTGGCGGTGGTTTAGGCTTTTGGCCGCCAATTTAGGAACTAAAATAACTCTTGGGCAACTGGCTCCCGCCTTGTTACAGCCAGTCTGCGGAATCCACGGTCTATCACCGCCCCCCCACCCCGTTTCCTGACCTTTCTCTGCCCCCCTCAATGTCCCTCTGACCTTTTCTCCTAATCTCACAAAGGCCCTTGGGGGTCCGCGTCCAACCAACACAGAAGTTAGGGAGGGGGAAACCTGCTACTCTCATCCATACAATCCGGGGCCATAGGTCCCATAGGTGGAGGAAAGTAGCGGGGTGCGTGCAGAGGAGCGCAGAAGGGGTTAATGAGAGCGCTCTGAATCCTAGCGTTATTTCTTCGGAGTCATTTATCAGATTTTACGGGGGGACCTCCAAGGGCTCTCCGTTTCCACCGAGCGCCATCTAAACAGAGCCCAGGGCTAAAAATACAACATTTTTGTATAAATTGGACTCGCGGCCCGAGCGGCCGCCCCTATGAAAGTCCTCTTTGTGAAGACCATGGAAACAGCGGACAAATAACTCTTTATTAATGCCACAAAAAACGCACTTTAATTACAGTTAGGCAGATCAGAGGCAGGGGGTGGGGGCGAGGCGGCGGCGACCTCAGAAAATTCACAGCCCAACTTTTGTGTTGAAAGAAAAGAATAACAGAGGAAAAGAAGGAGAGGAGAGACGAAGGGTCAGACGGAGCGCGGGAGACCGGTATAGCAGACGAAGGAAGGGAACCCCGCTCCTCACCCCTCCCCGTCGCACCCCACCTCCGCCTTGATTTTCCTTAAAGGGGTAGATGCCGTCTCGGACGGCTGCACAGTGTGGGGCGCTCTCCCCGACCCTCCAGCCTGGGAGCGGGACAGCATCCCCCGCGGCCCGGCCCCCCTCCTGGCGGCGCGGTCGTTCGCGGCTCGTTCCGTGTCGCGCGCCGGGGCCTGAGGCGCATGTGGAAAAGTGATTAGGGAATCCGAGTTCTGCAGAGTCACTTTTCGGCTGTGCTGGGGTGTGTACACATCTAGCTGGAGTATAGTTTCCCGTGAAAGAAAGGAAAGTGAGGAGAGGGACCAATCCAGGAGAGGGGGAACCGAGCTGTCCCCTCGGGAGTGCGTGACTGGATTCTGGAGCCGGAGTCCGTACTTCTGTTGGCGGGCAGGCGGGGCGACTGGACAGGTGACAGTCCTCCCCTTCTCAGTGCCGCCCTGGCAGAAGAAGGGTTAACACGGGGTGGGGTAGGGAGCGCGACGTCAAAGGTGAGCGGGGCGCCCGTGCCCCCGCCCCTCTGAGGTCCCCTCGGCTTCCGGTACTCGCGCCGGGCGGGCTGCGCCTGCTGTTTGGAGCGTTAGACCCGGCCAGGGCCCAGCCATTCTCGACTTGCGCCGCCGCCTCCGCCGCCGGGATCCGGTTACCTGCGCGGGTCGCCCCGCGGGAAGCGCCGTCCGTCGTGCTCCCCTACCAAACTCCCGGGCTGCCACAAACGTCCGCCTCAGTTATTTCCAGGGCAAAATGCATTAGGGAAACCGCGACTTTGGGCCCGCGACCCCACCTCGCAGAGCTCTCAGAGAGCTGCCGGGTCCCTGCGCAGGCCACACCGGAGAACGGAGGAAACTCCAACCCCACACCCCACGCCCCGCCCGACCCCCCCCAATCTGTAGTGACTGCCTCTGGGCACCGACCGCTCACCACTATAAATAATCTTTGGCCTGCGGCCACCCCGCGGGGTCTCGCCAGCCCGTGGCCCGGAGCCTGGAAATATTTATTCCGAGAGGCTCCAAGCGCTGGGTGGGGGTGGGAGGGTGGGGGTTGGAGACTTTAGCTTTAGGTCCAGCTGTCCGGGATACCTTTTCCCTCCCGAAAGTCATTACTGAAAAACAGCCTCCTGGGGGTGCCCCTGGGCCTCCCGCCTCCTTGCGTTATTTATTATCCTCTCTAGGCCCTACTTCCCAGTTCTTGTGCACGCCGTGAAAAATAAAACCTGCGTGCGTGCGTGTCTGTGTGTATTTGGGGGGAGGGGCAGGTGGCTGGTGCCCCGAGTTGGAGGCCGCCACCCCTCCCCCGCGGGCCGTCCGAGACGTGCACCTTAAGAGAGATCGCTTGTGTGGCTCCCGCAGGGTTCTGGCTTCCAGTCCTCGCGGAGGGAGAAGTACGGCAACGTGTTCAAGACGCATTTGCTGGGGCGGCCGCTGATACGCGTGACGGGCGCGGAAAACGTGCGCAAGATCCTCATGGGCGAGCACCACCTCGTGAGCACCGAGTGGCCTCGAAGCACGCGCATGCTTCTGGGGCCCAACACGGTGGCCAACTCTATCGGCGACATCCACCGCAACAAACGCAAGGTAAGAACTCTACACTCCTCCCTCGGTGTAAGGAGTTCATGGACGTCCACAGAACGACCCCACCCGAATCAACGCCCCCCTTTGCGAACCATGCTTGAGGACCCCGTAGTTCTCCTGTCTAGACGACTTTGAGCCTGGATCCAGGGCCTGCACAGGCCTCCTCCTGGTTCACCCTCCTGCTGGCCTACTGCGCCGTGGTCACCGCCAGCCAGGTTGCTTTGGACAGAGCTTGAAAGTGCGGGGTCTGAGGTGTCCAACGCCTGTCCTTGGGGTGCTCCACGGAACTGGAAAGAGAAGGGGGCGGGACAGCTGGTCGGCGCGCTTTCCTTTTCACCACTTTCCCCCAGGAATTTATTCTAAAATCAAACTTGGCCCTCCCACCACTGGTTGCTTTAAGGGAGACGCGGACAGGCGCGGGGGTGAGGGGTGAGGGCACCTCGTGGCAGTGGTTGCTGTGCCTTGTCAGGGAGAGATGCGGGGAGTCGTGCGCACTGGCCTGGACAGTGGGGGAAAAGCGAGGGGTGGGGGAGCAGCCGAGGCGCGGGAGGGGATCAAAGCGCACCCCCACACACACAAAGAGGAAGAGAAAGTGGGTGTTTATCCTGTGGATTTCCCGAGCGACTGGAAGAGGCGCGGAGGCGGCGAGCCAGCGCGCACGGAGCAAGCCTCCCCGCCCCCTCTGGGCTGCGCCGCCGCCGCCGCTGCTCGGAGCGCGGCCGGCACGTGCTGTTTGAACTGCAGTAACCCGAAAGCTGAGCCGGCGGGCGGGCGGGGCGCCGGCCTGCGGGCTTGAAGCCGCCAGGAGGGAGGCTGCACGACCTCCTCCACTCCCATGTTTTTCCATTGGGTCAGAGGACTCACCCCGGGTTGAAACCTAAAGGAGGGGAGAAGGAGCCTCTCATCTCCCGGAACAGTGGGTAGGCTCGAGTCCGGGAGCGGGAGGAGGAGGGGAAGGAGGAGGGGGCAGCTCCCTGGGGCAGAAGTCCATGCGTGAAGTGGCCGAGGGGGATTGTGCTGCTCGCTGACGCATCCTGTAGTATTTGATATTCTCTGAACAGCCTGAGAAGGGTAATTCTCCATGACAGACAAAAGAAGGAAAATCGAACGGGAGAGTGGTCTTCGTGCCTCCCCCACCCACCCCAGTTCCCTAATAAAGCGTGTATTTCAGGAACTGGAAAAGAGCTCTCAAAGTCATCTCTTCCATCTGCCTCACTCAGAGCTGGAAGCAGTTAACACAGCCTGGGGACCCACAGGGGTTGGGGGGCAGGTGTTCTGGGGAGTAGCTGGGAGGGGGCTGTGGGTTTAGGAATCAGGCTTTCAGCTGTGTTGGATAGTTATTTCTCCCTTAGTCTTGGTGGCACCACTAAAGGACCATTCCAGAACATGAGGAGAGAGCTGAGACTCAGGGACCCAGCTCCAGAGCAGATGGCTGCTTGCTTCCCCATTTCATCTTCGTAGAGCCTTTGACAAGAAAAGAATTATTGTCCCTTTTCACAGAAGCCTTGGAGAGGTTGATCGAGACTTGAACCCACTCAGGAAGCAAAGAAAAGGCAGGACAGAGCCTGCAACAGAGGCCTTTCGCTTCCATGGGAATAGTTGTTTCTGGGCCACGGCGTAGAGTTCTACTCAGCCCTGCTGGCTGGGAGCTGCCAGCAGTTGGCATAGGTAGGGAGTGCTGGGAGGAAAGAGGCTTGGCCAGGACCAGAGTGAGAGACCCTGGGGCCTTGGGGTTCCACTCACCCTCTTCCTGACTTAGCCTTGGGCCTCCAGGTGCCCGTCGGGGAGGGCCTGTCTGGAAAGCCCCAAGGTTTGGGCCTACAATGTCCATTTGCAGGGGAGGGAAGAGGGAAAGGGAAAGCACAGATGAACAGTCCCAGAGGAGTATGTAGGGAAGGAAGAAAGTGGGATGGGGATAAGGCCGAGTTGGAGGCAGAGACTGAGGACTCTGGGCAAGCTGCAGATGGTCTCCCTATTTGCAGCACCTGGCCCTCCAGCTCCTTGGGGGTAGGGAGTCGCCAGAAGCCAGTTCATCCTGGCAGAGGGGCTTGAGAACCAAATCCAGGGGCCCTCTTTTTGTGTGTACTAGTTGTGTGCTGGCTATGTGGGGTGCATGTGTGTGTCGTGTGGTAAATGGGTAGTCAGCTAGACAAAAGGATCCTTCCCCCCAGTCTCTCGGATGGATGATCTATAAACCTAAGTTTACTGGACTACATGGAAGGCCTGGGGTTAGGTTCATAGGAGTGGGAAACTTGATCCTCGCCCTCAAGAAGTAGTGTAGCTGGAGGGATGAGACTACTCAGGGGCACCATTTCTAAATATATGTCTATATGGGTCCTGGAGAGAATGGCCAGACTGCTGGATCCAGTGCCTGGTGGACTCTGTGGCCAAGGTGGGGGCTGCTGTGTGCCACCCCCACTGCTCTATCCAGCCCATGCTGCAGTCAGGCCTGGCTGGACTGTGGGCTGCTGGGCCAGGCTCAGCCTGGTTAGGAGGTACGTGCAGGAAGTGGGGCCCAGGTGTGCTGGGGCCCGGCTGGTGGGGAACTAGAAGCGTCACTGTTTCCACTGGGGCTGGTGGCCCACCCCTTCTCCGGGAGGTCTGGCCAGATGTGCTAGGAAGGGGCTCCTCACTGCCATCACTGCACGCCAGGTGTTTTGCCCTGGCTGCCCTGGTGGTCTAGGGCCAGCAGGGTGGGGTTGCCAGGGAAAAAGTCCAGAAAATCTTGCCCAGTCTAACAGAATCATTTCTGGAAGCCAGGCCTGTGTCTCTACAGCCAGGGCCTCAGTCTCTGTCCTCCTTGGTTATCCCTCCCCCACCCAGGCCTGGGGTATCTCTGGTGGATGGGGGAGGGACCCCATCCCTTTTGTGTATAGAGAGGCTGGTATTGCTCTTGAAGGGTGGATGGAATCCAGTGAGGAAGGTGGGGGTGAAAGGGTTATCAGAGACATGGAGGAGTTGGGGCATAGTTCTAGAAGCTTCCAACACCCAGCCCCACCCACCAGGATTGGGCATTTCCTCTTTCTCTTTAGAGATAGGGCCAGGCCTCTTTGCGCCAAGAGGCCATCTGCTTCAGGGCATCCCGGACAGTGCCTCTGAGACACTCTCCGGGAACTTGGAGAGTATCTGAGGGGCAGCACTTAGTCTTGGAGCCCCTGGACTGGGGAGACCCAGGAGTGGTCATCTTGCCCCTTCTACCCAGACCCCTGCCTGCAGGGCCTGTGTGCCTGAGGCGGAGGTAGGGGAACAGGCTTTGGAGGTGGGGATCAGGAAGCCCTGCCTGCCCACCCACCATCCCTCACTGACCTGGCCTTTGGGCCCCGTCCTGGAGTGAGGGTGGGGGTCAGGCTCAGGGTCATCACACTCCTCTCAGAAACCCTGTGCATCCCGGGGTGGAGAGGATAGGAGGCACCTCAGCAGGAGGGCAGGGCTGGGCACCCGTGGTTGTGGGGTCCTGGGAGTAGACTAGCCCACTCCTGGCTCTAGGAGTTCTCGGAAGCTCCATCCTGCAGTGGATGGGAAGGCTGGTGGCATGGCCGGGCAGTCCTGCTGCTGGGAGCTCTGCCCTAGTCCCTGGCATAGGCATAGGGCCTTTGTTCTGCCAACCCAAGTCCTTCACGCAAAAGTTACTGTAGCACCAGTGGTGGGCGCAGGGGCTGCTGAGGGGGCGGTGGCAGGAGCGGATCTCTCTGAAGGTCAGCGGGGGAGGGAGCTCACGGTCAGCTGCCTGGGTGCCTGGGAGTGGGTGCCTCCCTCTGCTTGCCCTTGTGCCAGGCAGCAGGCTGGTGGGCGGGCTGGGCGTGGGGGCTATCGCCTCTCTTTGTCCCTCTTTTCTGTGTCCTCCCAGGGCAGAGAGGGGTCCAAGGCTGTGATGCTGATGTGTCTGTTTACTCTCCCGGCCTTTGAAGACAAATGTGGCCTTGGCGGGGAATGGGGAGGCTTGGCTGGGGTCTGCTTTGGCCCTAGCCTCTGTGCCAGCCACTGTGTCCATCCTGGGTTCCCCAGGCCTAAAGGGAAGGGACTCCAGGGGCCTGGGAAATGTTGAGAACAAGCCAGAGTAGCCAGAACAGCCAGCCTCATCCTTAGAATAAACTTAGGCCATAGAAGAGGATCGTTTCAGGACCTTTAGATAAATTCAGAGCCCACCAGGCCTGGCAGAGGGCAGCTCGATGGAGTCTGCAGTGGTGGGAGGCAGGGGCTTCCGGGACTCTGCTGGGTAGGGCCAGTCATGCCCTGCACTGTGACCTTGGAGGGCCCTTCCCGCTCTGGGCCTCAGCTTTCCAAGGAAGAGGGAGGGATGAGAGTGTCTGGGCAAACCTTTCCAGATTCCACCAGTGCTGCCTCCCCGCCCGGCCTGGTGTTTGCTGCATGTGTGGAGGAGCTAGGGCCGTGTAGGGTGGTGGGAAGCAGGTCTTGAGGTAAGACGATTATAGCTAGAGCCAGATGGCGGACAGGCACTCTGTTGCCACCGACGCTGGGAAGGGGCATGCGCTAGCTGGTGGCGGGGGTCTGGGCCAGCACCTCCTGACCAGAGGGGCTGAGTGTGCCCAGCCCCACACACCAGGCTTGGGCATTTCCAACCCTGGGTGAAGCTGCCTGGCATTTCCACTGGGCCAGGGTGAAGCTGAGGCCCAGTGGAAATGCCAGGCAGCTGGGAAGATGACGTCCTCCCTTGTTCCCCCCTTGCTTGGGTGTAAAGTACACACCTTGGCGTCACCCCTGTGCGGATGGCTGCTGCGGCGGCTGCCTGCCCTCTGTTATTCTTTCCACTCTGAAGGCCGCTGCTCCAGTGGCTTGGCCGGGTGGCCTGCCCAGGCCCCCACCCCTCTTGGGCAGCCGCTTCCATTCCTCCCAGTCTGAGTCACTGGCCCGGGCAGTGGGTTCCCTCTCTGCCTCTTCCTGCTCCCGTGGCTGCCTATCCATTTGTCCATCCATCCACGGCCACCAGCAGAGAAGGGGGAGGTTACCTGGCCAAGCAGGCACATCACGAAGGGCCATGGGGGTTCAGAGTGACCCTCCTCCTAGGGGCACTGGATGAGAGGCGGGAGGGGTAAGGGGGGCCTAGCTGGGAGGGAGAAAGCATTTGTAGAAGCAGTTATGGGGAATTTGAGCCTTGACAAGCCTGGGTGGTGTCCCCAGACCCTAGCTGGGAGATTGGCCCACATTCTGGAGGGAGGAAGAGAACCAGGGATGGGGCTCTTGAGCTTATTGTGTTGAGGGGAAACTGGTGACATCCCATCCCTCAAGGTGGGAGCCATCTTCCCTCCTGCCCTTTCCCTGAGGCTCCCTCTGCAGGGAGTGGCCTGGGCCTGGGCTGGTTCCCAATGACCTTTGTCCGGCATTCTTGGCTCACTTTTGGGAATTCCCAGGGAAGCCCCGGAGGGAAACAAAGCATCCCTGGCTTCAGTGATGACTGTGGTCGGGGAAGTTGGCTCTGGGGGCCGGGAACCCTTCCTCTCTTCACACCGAGCCGCTCCCTGGGCACCTTCCAGTGTGCCCAAGTCCCGACCCCGGCAGGCAGCTCCTCAGACCCAGCCCGCCCAGACACTGTCCAGGCTCCTGTGCCCTAGCCGGTCCCTCCACCTCTACCTCTGCCTGTCCTTTGTGGCGGGTGGTGGTTTCTGAGCCTCCCCAGCTTTGGGAAGTGCCTGTGCTGTTAACCCTGGACACAAACCCAGGGATGAGGCCTTGGAGTCTTCCCAGCACCTGGGAGGCCCCAGTGCCTGTGGAATAGCTGGGCCAGAGGCAGGGGCCTGGACTCTGACCTCTGAGCAAAGCCCCTGGGGCTGGAGTGCCCACCGCCTGCCTTTGCTTGGCTTCTCATTTGGGCAGTTTCTTCTGGTGTTGGGGGTGCTCTGAGGAGAATCATGGGCAGCCAGGTGGGAAGGGACTTCAGAACATCCAGTTGGACTCCTCATGAACCCATGGGGAAACTGAGCTCCAGAGGGGGCAGCGACCTGCTGGCCATCACAGGGCAAGTCAGAGGCTGGTCAAGACGAAGGCCCTGGTCCGGCTTCAGTTCTCTTTCCAGAGGCCCCAGCCCACGGCGCCTGCAGGGTGCAGGGTGGCAGTGGGTTTCTTGGGACATTCCAGCTCCTGGCCTTTCTCAGCACCTCTTCTCACCCTGTGGCCGGGTGTGGGCCCGCTGCTCTTGGAGTCCTTCCTCTCATTCCCAGGTTCCACGTCCTTGTCCTTCTGTCTTCTCGGGTTGTCCCTGCCCTGCTTGGCCCCCAAGACCTGAATAGGAGCGATTCAGACTGCCGTCGCTAGAGGGCGCAGGGAATGCAACCTACGGGCAGGGCAGAGCTCGTCAGCAGCCACCCGGCGCCCTCCGCGCTCCCCGTGGGAAATCCTGGGATGTCCCCTCTTGGGCCGCCGTGCCCGTGTGGGCTGTGTGGTGGGGTCTGGTAGGCCCTCTCTAGGTGACTTGAGCATTGCCAGGTTCTGGGCTACCTCGAGGGGTAGCGTCTACTTAGGGGCAAGTGCACAGTGGTGGAGTGAAAGCAACCCCAGCGATAACCGGGTTGAACGTCAGCATTTCACAGATGAGGAAACTGAGGCTTGGGGGAGGGGATCACTTGGTTGTGATCACACTAGAAGTTGGCGGATGATTGGGGCTAACACTCAGGTCTCTTGGCCCCCGGTCTCTATTCCCATCCCCCCACTGCATCTCAGAGCCCAGCTGGCTTTGACTTTGGCTGGGTCTGGTGGGCGTGGCCTCTGCCCCCCTGTCCTCCTCCACAGACCCATCTTTGGGCCCAGGTTTCCCATGTGCTGGAGGCCCTGGCCAGTCCCCGCCCTGTCCCCTCCTTGACAGAAGCCCTACTCTGTTCTGGGCTGGCCAGCTCTGGGCCAGGCATGGCTTTCCTGGCTCCTCCTGCCACTCCTCCAGCTCCCCACGGAGGCCTGGTAGCTGCAGAGTAATTTTTCCGCCTCCTGTGTTGTTTCCTGATGAGCCTGCTCAGCTCTCGGGTACCACTCTCTGCTCACCCCGTGTGTGGCCTCTTTGCTGTTTTGTAAGGGCCCTTAGTTGGCCAGTGCTGGGCCCTAGGGGCCCATTCCCAACCCGAAGACCCTTGGCTCAAGGGCCAAACTTGGAATCCTGAGGACACCAGGGTGGGGGGCTGAGGTAGACAAGCTCTGCTTTTATCCATAATCCTCTGTAGGGAGGGGGCCACTGGGGTCCCCCCTGGAAGTTCCCTGGGACCCCCAAAACTAGGCAAGGTGTGAGTGACCCGTCCAGGCCTGTGTTGACCTAGGTGACCTCCTATCGTCCTTCTACCTTTCGGCTGTCCCTTTGTAGCAGGACCAGCCCCAAATGGTGCTGGCCTCTCTGCCCCTCACCGGCCTCCTGCCCTCCCTCCCTCTCTCCGCCGGGAATTTCGGAATGAAAGTGCTATTGTGAATGCCTGGCTGGGCCACTGAAGGGCCAGCACTGTTATTTCTGCAAACCAGCCCTCCCATTAGCCATGCAGGGCCCAGGCCAGGAAAATGTTACCTTTCCTCCTCGAGCTGACTGCAGGGGAAATTCTCACATTTACAGTTTATGCGGTGGTTGGGTTTGGGGGGCAGAGGGGAGGGCAGGCGCGTGTGTGTGGTTTGCACGGGGCAGTGTGGGGGGCTCCTTCTGTGCCGCCCCTCCCCTCTTGGCCTTCCCAGTGACCTTTCCCTTGGTGCTGCTGGGAGGCACCCCCTTCTGCTCCAGACTCTGGGGGAGATGGAAGTTGTTGGTTATGAGTGAGACCTGCAGGCTGTCAGTAAATAAACTAACATCCTCCCCTCTCCTGCAGATGAAAACCATGTGCTGGGGCATCTCAGTGAGGAGGGGCCGCAAGGGGAGTTGCTGAGCCAGTCAGGAGGACAGGGAAGCAGGGACTCACTGGCCACTTAAAGTCGTCCTGGAAGATGCAGGGGATTAAAAGGGCTTCTGTTTGTCTTTATGACCTTGTGTGGTGGAAAGCCATTGCCCCCATCCCCCTACCTCTAGACCTGGCCACACTGAAGACATCTTAATGGCACAACCGTTAATAAACTCCCCGTAGGTGTTTCTCAGGGAGTGAGAATAATTCTGGTTCCCTGGAAGTCCTGCTTGTGGTCTAGCCTCAGATGCTCTTGCTCTCCCATTGTTAGAATAGAAGAGCCACCTACTGCCTTCCCGCCTCTTCCCTGTCCATTCCACTCACCCGTGTTCCACTTCTCCTGGGCACTTCGGTCCCTGTCCTGAGATTCGGGAATGGGCTCTTGCGTGGAAGGGCAGCCTCCCTTCTCCAGCCCTGCTCGACTCCCTCTGTGCCTCTCACAGCCACGTCCCCTACAGACTTGTCAGCAGCTGGAATGACCAGTCCCCAAAACTTTGCCATTGTGTGGGACCTGGAATTTTCCCCGGATGCAGTCATGGGATAGGTACCTCGTCCAAGCAGAGCAGGGGCCAGGCCGGGGCACGCCATGCTGGCCAGTCACCCGCCTGCCTCTCTGCCCTCCAGGTCTTCTCCAAGATCTTCAGCCATGAGGCCCTGGAGAGCTACCTGCCCAAGATCCAGCTGGTGATCCAGGACACGCTGCGTGCCTGGAGCAGCCACCCCGAGGCCATCAACGTGTACCAGGAGGCGCAGAAGCTCACCTTCCGCATGGCCATCCGGGTGCTGCTGGGCTTCAGCATTCCCGAGGAAGACCTTGGGCGCCTCTTCGACGTCTACCAGCAATTTGTGGAGAACGTCTTCTCCCTGCCTGTCGACTTGCCCTTCAGCGGCTACCGGCGGGTGAGGACCCCGGGCCTGGGAGGAGGAGAGGCCGGGCATCCACGAGCCCACCCTCAGGAAGGGCGGCTGTCTGCTAAGATGGGCACAGGGCACATGGACAGAGGGGAGAGGTGTCAGTGGGAGGGTGGGCTGTGTGGGTGACTGCTGCTTCTCCCCTCAGGGCATTCAGGCTCGGCAGACCCTGCAGAAGGGGCTGGAGAAGGCCATCCGGGAGAAGCTGCAGTGCACCCAGGGCAAGGACTACTCGGACGCGCTGGACATCCTCATCGAGAGCAGCAAGGAGCACGGGAAGGAGATGACCATGCAGGAGCTGAAGGTGGGGGCCGCGGCTCCCCCAGCGGGCAGCAGGTGCCCTTACTCCGTGGTGGGGTTTCCCTCCCGGGAAAGGCGCCTGCCCTTTCTGCCTGCTCTGGTCTCACTCTGCACTGCTGTCTGAGTGGCGGCTGGAGAGGGCAAAACTGGGAGCAGAGACCGTGTCCCTGCCTCTGTGCAGGACTCCACAGGCTGCCCTCCTCTCCCCACAGCAGCCAGCAGCCGGGCAGCAGGCAGCTCAGGGCTGGGAAGGGTCTCAGTTCATTTCATGGTCTCTAAACCCCTGGAGGCTACCTAAGGAAGTGCAGGCCGAGAAGGGGAAGCCACTTGCTTGAGGCCAGCCTGGGCTCTTGGGGAACAGCAGGGGAGATTTGTGTGCACCTCCTCCACCCCTAGCCTTTCCAAGTTGGCAGCACTTTACAGGCTCTCCCATCCCGCCTGGCACCGGCTAGCTGGGCTTCCCACTCACCCTGCTGTGGGTGAATGTTCTGCCTGAGGGAGGTCCGTTAGTCCCTCCCCCAACCAGGTACCCACAGACACTCACTGCAGACTCTCCATCCCCACCATCTTTGCCTCCCTGTATTCTAGCTCCAATTTTTTTCATGGGGAGCCAGGAAGAGGCGGGAATGACTCCCATTTTACGAATTTTGTGACTGGTAGGTGCCATGCAAGTAAGGAACCCAGGACCCTTTACTCCCCTCTCTGGGCCCAGAGCCCACATTTGTGAAATGTGGGGCTTGGAATGAGGTGAGCTGCTGGGGCCTTGCCCTGGGGCACCCACACCCAGTGTCCACTCCCCAGAGAGCCGTGGAGGGTCTTTAAGTTCTCTGGGGGCGTCACCTTCCCTCAGCCTCCTCACTGCAGCCTCATCTCAGGTCCTCAGGGCTGTGGCCCCAGGGTGCCTGCCAGACCCCATCAGCTCCCTTGATGCCTGCTAGATTTCCTTCTCCTGGGGATGGAGGAGGAGCTGGGGTTGGGAGTGGGAAGGCAGAGTTTAAACCCCACGTCCCCCGAACACACGCACACACTCATGCCCAGTGCCTGAGATTTGTTCCTTTTCTTCTGTGAGCTCGCTTCGTTGATCAGGCCTCTGTGGCTGGGAGGATTCCAGCAGCGAGTGAGGGGTAGCCCTGCCCCCAGAGGATTAACAGGCTAGTGCCTCTGCTTGGCCACAGCAGTTGTGTCTCCTGCCCACCCAGGGGCTGGCTGTGACCTGTGTCATTGTGGCCCCAATGCCCAGGCATGCGAGGCTCAGAGGAAGCAGAAATCACAGCAGGAAGTGAGCAGGGCCCAGCACGGATGACCCTGGGCACAGGGCATGCTGGCAGAATGGGCCTGTACCCAGGCTGGGTCCGCCTGGCTGAACTTGGTTGGCCAATGGTACCTCTCCTCTCTGCCGCTGCAGGATGGGACCCTGGAGCTGATCTTCGCGGCCTATGCCACCACCGCCAGCGCCAGCACCTCACTGATCATGCAGCTGCTGAAGCACCCCGCCGTGCTGGAGAAGCTGCGGGAGGAGCTGCGGGCCCAGGGCATCCTGCACAGTGGCGGCTGCCCCTGCGAGGGCACCCTGCGCCTCGACACGCTCAGCGGGCTGCGCTACCTGGACTGCGTCATCAAGGAGGTCATGCGCCTCTTCACACCCATCTCCGGTGGCTACCGCACGGTGCTGCAGACCTTTGAGCTCGACGTGAGGCTGGGCCCTGTGGGGCCAGGGGCAGGGGCAGGCCCTGGGGGGACCACTCTGGGGGCTGGGGCTGATGGATGGTGATGACCAGCCTCCTGCTCGGGTACCTCGGTATGATGTGGGGACAGTGCTAGCTTTCAGGGACTTGCAGTCTGATGGGAGCGATGTGGCCCCAAATGCAGAGTCAGAGGAAGCCAACCCGGGTGTCACATGTGCAGGTGCATGTGTATAGCTATAAATAAGCCTGGACTAACATGCTGAGCAGGGAGGCTGGCCGGTCCTGGGGGCCACACTGGGGTGTTTCTAGGAAGAGGCAGGCCTTGAACACCTGGCGTTGGGGACAAGCAGGCAGGCAGTCCCTGGGACCTCCCCTGGCCATCTCTGGCTCTCACCACCCACCCCCGGCCCCCATCTCGCCTCCAGGGTTTCCAGATCCCCAAAGGCTGGAGCGTCATGTACAGCATCCGGGATACCCACGACACAGCACCTGTGTTCAAAGACGTGAACGTGTTCGACCCCGACCGCTTCAGTCAGGCACGGAGCGAGGACAAGGACGGCCGCTTCCATTACCTCCCGTTCGGTGGTGGTGTCCGGACCTGCCTGGGCAAGCACCTGGCCAAGCTCTTCCTGAAGGTGCTGGCGGTGGAGCTGGCTAGCACGAGCCGCTTCGAGCTGGCCACCCGGACCTTCCCACGCATCACCCTGGTCCCCGTTCTGCACCCCGTGGATGGCCTCAGCGTCAAGTTCTTTGGCCTGGACTCCAACCAGAACAAGATCCTGCCAGAGACCGAGGCCATGCTGAGCGCTACCGTCTAACGTGCTCCGGCCACATCCGCCTCAGCCCAGCCCAGGCGTCGGGTGGGGGTGAGGGGAGGTAGAAACCTGTGTGTGGGAGGGGCTGAACCTGGGGAGGGTGAGCAGCCCCCCTACTTGCCCTGCCCAGCCCCCCTCCCTGGCAAACCCCGCCCAAAGCCAAAAGGGCCCCATTCTTCCTGGGGACGGGCTTCCCTTCTGGCTCCTGCTTCCCTCCAGGCACTGCCCCCAGTTCCTACCCGCTCAGCTTCTGGGAGAGGGCGAGGCCGGGCTCTGCATGCCCGTTACAGTGTTAGGTGTCGCTCGTGCTGCAGTGTTCACTTGTGATGTTCTGAACCTTCCCTCGTTCCTTCCAGACCCTTTCAGTTGGAGGTCAGGCCATCGAGCTGGGGGAGGCAGGAAGAGAGGTGCCCCCTTTGGCGCACTCTTCAGCACCCTCACCCGACCCCTCCCACTGTGGCTGCCAGAAGAACAGCATCCTGGGTAATTAGTAGAACAGGAGTCAGCCGTGGCAGGGGCGCCACCAACCTGGAGGGCCTCCTCACCCACTCCCTGCCACGCCAGTTTGGACATTTGAAATTAACTATTGCTGCTACTTGTTCTGTCCTCTGACCTTGGGGCAAAGGAGCCCCAAGTCTGTCCCCCAGTATCCTCCCTGGTGGCCCTGGGCAGGTGCACTGACACCCCACCTTCCCACCCCCAGCTTAGCCTTGCTGCTCCCTGCTACACACCCAACCAAGGCCCCGGCTCCTGGGCTCCCCACCCCCATATTTATTCCCTGATAGAGAATCATGGCAATGCAGGGGTCTGGAGCAAACATCTCCTCCATCCCTAGCCCCTGTTCCAGCTGTTCCAGGCAACACATCTGCGAGTGGAGAGGGAGGGGTCTTGGTCAAACCCAGCCTCTGGCTCACGGTGGAGCAGCTCTCCCAGGCTCCGGACTTTGAGTTCAACCTCAGAGCCTCACTCCTGGGCTGAGATCTAGCCCCTCTGTCTTGTCTCCTGGAGGGGGATGGGGCCATGACCCATTGCCACCTACTCCATCCTGTCAAAACCCCGATCACGTGGATTTGGAGGCTGCCATGGCTCCCTGCTTAGCCACTGGGCACCCAGCGCCTCCTGCTCCGGCTAGTGAGTACGGGGCAGGATACGGGTTCTTTCTGCTGGTAGACAGCATGGGCCTCCGTCTGCCCTTCCTTGCTCCTCACCTTGTGCCCTTAGCCCTTGGAAAGGTGCCCTTGAAGTCCCTTCCACTCTATGCCACTATCTGCTTAGCCCAGCTCAGGGGACTGGGGATGAGATGAAGGCAAGGGGGAGGTGAGTGCAGAGGCAGCCCTGCCTCCAGCGACTAGAGGCCTGTGTGGCTTTGAGAAGCTGCAGGGCAGGCTGCAGCGAGAGCCCCGGAGAGCCGAGGATGAGGGTACGTGCCATTTGTCAGAAGGGATTGGGTTGAAGCTGGCCAGTCTGGATGACTGGGTGAGAGAGGAGTAGCTCCCACCACTGGCATTCTGAGTGTTGGCAGTTTGGGATGCCTCCCAAGATGGTCTGGGGGCCTTTGGTGAGTCTCTAAGCAATTTTGTCTGTTTTTAAATTTTTCTTTGCTTTCCATGTTTCTCTATTGGGTTTTGATGTTATAAAAGCAATGAATCCTCTTTTCCAAGAAAATAAAAGCACAGAAGAAGAAAGCCGGACACGACGATCCCCAATTGCTACTGTGAGCAGCTCTGCGCCCCCGACGGTGTCCAGTGGGCAGCCCCACGGTGGCCCCAGCCCGCCCTGTCGGCCTTGACAGCAGACTCTATAGGAATGGGGGCATACCTCGCAGACTGCTCTGTAACCCCCGAGTCTCAAATCTTTCATTTGCTTCCTATTTTTCACTACTAAAAAACAGTGTGGAACAGACATTCTTGGCAAAAATAGTTTGAAATTTTTAAAAAATTAGTAAAATCCCTCCAACTGCCCCCCGCCCCCGCAATTCTGTAAAACAGGCCAAAATATGTAAAGACTCGTCAAAGCTTGCAAAATAGCTGCATGGTGTACCAGAGTCTGTTACCCACAAAAAAGCCCAGTGTCTGGAAGGTTCGTTTTCCTTTAAGGTGATCCACCTTGCCCTGAACCAGGTGTTTTTGCCTGAATATGTAGGAGTGCAGTAAGTGCAACTTCACACAGGGAGCACACCGGGTGTGGCCCTGGGGACGGGCAGGGGCTGGAGGGCTCTGGGAGGCCTCGGGGGCCTTCCCTTGGGGTGGCCAGCCTGGGAGGGGGCGGAGAGGGAAAAGCTGAGGAGACCCCTGTAAGGGAGGAAAGAAGGATCATTTGCCCCGCTGGGCCTCAAAGGCAACAGGAAGAGAGCTACAGAGAGCTCTGGCTGGCCGACAGCACCCCGCCCTTGCGATTCCTCCATCTCTTCTCTGTAGATCTGTATTGAGGTATCTGTGTCTGTGTTCGCGTGTGTGTTTCATAGAGCTAGTGTTAGATGGGTGATGTTTTCTCACCATTCCTAACTATTGTCACTTGATATTAAAAAGACAAAACCCCCACAAAACTCCTCCTGCCCTGGGCTTGCAGATTGAAGCACTTTTGATGTTGGGCGCTGGCGTCTGTGTTCGGGGCACCACCCTGCCCCTGCCCAGATCGCTATAATATTATTTTATACACAAGACTTTTTTTTTTTTCATAAATGTTATAATTTTGTGTCTGTCTTTATAAACTATTATAAGTACTATTTTTGTTATAATTCAAAATAGATATTTAGTATAAAGTTTTTGCTGTTAAATATTTGTTTTATTTAGTAAAATATGAATTTTTTCTCTATTGTAAACATGGTTCAAAATATTAATATGTTTTTATCACGGTTGTTTTAATATTGAAAAAGCACTTGTGTGTTTTGTTTTGATATGAATCTGGTGCCGTATGAGTGTTTTTTGCTGTCATGTGGTTTTAATCTGTATATAATATTCCAAGTTGCATATTAAAAAATGAATGTTGTGCATTTTGTGATTTTGGAAATACTCAGTATGGCTCTTTTATAGGCTTCCATAATAAACCGTGGGGACTCACACTCACCTCCTTTGCCTCTCTGGTCTCTGCCTTCTCAGCCTCACTGAAAGGATCCGCCCGGCATTCACGCTGGCAACACCCAGTCCAGCTCGTCCATTAGGAAGCTCTTCCCTAAAACGTCTGTCCCATGAGGCCAGAGAAGTCTGTGCAGTGGGAGGAGTGGGTTCCCCTGGGGAGGGAGAGATACAACTACTCAGCCTGTTGGGGGATAGGACAGCTGGGAGGCCACTCACCTGGCTGAATGTGGCTGTGACTGGCTGTGCCAGGAGTCTCAGGGTTGGACGTGGTGACACAGAGCTCTGAGGGCCTGTCTTCAGAGCCCACCCTGTCAAATTGAATGAGGACAACTGATGTCCACAGCCACATCGCAAGCTGGAGGGCAGGATTCAGTTCCCCTGACTTCTTGCCTCATGCCCCATGCCAGCACTTCTCAAAGACTGTCATGGTTGTTGCAGGATCAGTAGATTCCGCGATCGAATGAGTTTGCAGGCCTTGTCAGAACCTTGGGCCCCAGGATGTATAGCCTAAGGGGCAGCACATTGAAGGGTCGATACAGGCTGCAGCACTCTGCAGGCCTATCTGAGGACTGAAACCTTGTCCTCTTTTGCTGATTATCACATTTTTACAGAAAGCTCTACAGCCTGACTGTCTCTGAGGCCTGAGGCCCAGCAAAGGGCACGACCTCCAGTACTGAGACAGGCAAGGCCCAAGGTGGTTCCAAGGACTGATGGGCTGTGGGTGGGGAGGAGGGCAGTGAGAGACAGAGCTGCACGCTGGGAACCAGAAAGACCACAGTGTCCAGGCTGGTCCCAGCCTCTGCCGTGCATGCCCTGGTCCTCTCCCCACAGTCTGGGAAGGAAAGTCCATCCCTGAGCTGGCGAAAAGAGAAAAGCCTCTTTGTGGCTGTAGCACTTCTTTTTGATAGAGTCAGTCAGTTGGACCCAACCTCGGCCCAGAGCACCTCGACCCAGAGCACCTGGGCCCAGGTACACCCTGGGGTGCAGGGCCTTGCCCTGCCTGGGTCGCAGAGCCTGGCCACCTAGATGAGAATTACCCAGCATCTGAGCAATGCCACCAGGGCAGGACGCTCAGCTACTCTGGTCGTCAGCTCATCTGCCCGGCGTGGCCTTTCTGCTTCACCTTCCCGCCGCACCGTGCCTGGGGCCACACGGCCAGCCTGACCCCAACCCTAGCCCTCACTTTCCCCAGGCGGGGCAGGGCAGGGGCGATTTCCCTGTTTTCCACAAGATAAAGCAGAGTCTCAGAGTGGCAGCAACTTTCCCAAGGCCACGCTGGCAGCCTGCCCTGCCCCGCGCGTGCCGGCTCCAAGGGGCTGCCTCAGACAGGAGCCCCGGGCACCAGGAAAGGAGCAGCGGAAAGCCTCCGCGTGCACGGGAAGCACGCCAGGGAAGGGCAGTAGTTTTTCAGAGTGTAAATTCCATCTGTCGTGGTGGAATGTCCTGTGTGGCAGCAGAGGTGAAGGAGGCACGGTCCCTGGGCTGCCCTCGGCCTGACCACCCTGCCTCGAAGCGGGTGGGTGGCTGACCCAGCACACAGCCTGTCCTTGCCTTTCCACCGTGGTCCCCCTGGGTCAATGACGTCCGCCTGCCTGCCGGTTCTCCACACGGCTGCCTGCCCCTGGGATCTCCTGGCCTGGAAGGAGAACACAGGCCGCTGTGGACAGACAAACACGGATCTGTTTGTCCAGGGATTGGGGCGCCAGTTTGGAGGGAATGCGCAGACCGCACATTTTGCCACCTCCCTGCACTTTTCCAAAACAGCCTGGCCTTGGCTGGACCCGGCTGCCCAGGGTGGCCAGAGGCTGGGAGCCAGGAACAGGGCAGGGGAGAGCAGGGCCTTGGGGCCAGCAAGGTGAGGTGACTAGGTGAGGACAGAGTCACTGATCTGCCAGCTCTGCTTAGCTCTGACGTGCCTTGGAGGAGAGAAGGAAAAGGGGCAAAGAAAGGGAGAGGGCGAAGGAAAGAGAGTCAGGGAAGGGGGAGAGAGAGAGAATGGCTATTTGTGTCTGGCCTCTCAGGAGGCCCTTCCTTACAGCTCCTCCAGCCTTGGCCTCCCTGGATAGACAACCCTCCCACCACCCC